TGTCTTAAAGTAATGATGGACTGTCATTTCTCTTTGCTTATTTGAGCTGTTCTTGCCATAATATGGACTTGGTATTTTACCAAATAGGGCTATCTTCTGTCACAACACAACTGATTGGCTCAAACGCATTAAGAAGGAAAGAGTCCCCGTGCCCAAGGACTCTAAGATAACCTGCCTAAATGACTACCGACCCGTAGCACTGACGTCTGTAGCCATGAAGTGCTTTGAAAGGCTGGTCATGGCTCACATCAACAGCATTATCCCAGAAACACTAGACCCACTCCAATTTGCATACCGCCCCAACAGATCCACAGATTATGCAATCTCTATTGCACTCCACACTGCCCTTTCCCACCTGGAGAGGAACACCTACGTGAGAATGCTATTCATTGACTACAGCTCAGCATTCAACACCATAGTGCCCTCAAAGCTCATCACTAAGCTAAGGATCCTGGGACTAAACACCTCCCTCTGCAACTGGATCCTGGACTTCCTGACGGGCCGCCCCCAGGTGGTAAGGGTAGGTAACAACACATCTGCCACACTGATCCTCAACATGGGGGCCCCTCAGTGGTGCGTCCTCAGTCCCCTCCTGTACTCCCTGTTCACCCATGACTGCATGGCCAGGCACGACTCCAACACCATCATTAAGTTTGCCGACGACACAACAGTGGTAGGCCTGATCACCGACAACAATGAGACAGCCTATAGGGGGTCAGAGACCTGGCCGTGTGGTGCCAGGATAACAACCTCTCCCTCAATGTGACCAAGACAAAGGAGATGATTGTGGACTACAGGAAAAAAAAGAGGACTGAGCACGCCCCCATTCTCATCGACGGGGCTGTAGTGGAACAGGTTGAGAGCTTCAAGTTCCTTGGTGTCCACATCACCAACAAACTATCATGGTCCAAACACACCAAGACAGTCGTGAAGAGGGCACGACAAAGCCTATTCCCCCTCAGGAGACTGAAAAGATTTGGCATGGGTCCTCAGATCCTCAAAAAATTCTACAGCTGCACCATCGAGAGCATCCTGACTGGTTGCATCACCGCCTGGTATGGCAACTGCTTGGCCTCCGACCGCAAGGCACTACAGAGGGTAGTGCGTACGGCCCAGTACATCACTGGGGCCAAGCTTCCTGCCATCCAGGACCTCTATACCAGGCTGTGTCAGAGGAAGGCCCTCAAAATTGTCAAAGACTCCAGCCACCCTAGTCATAGACTGTTCTCTCTGCTACCGCACGGCAAGCGGTACCGGAGTGCCAAGTCTAGGTCCAAAAGACTTCTCAACAACTTCTACCCCCAAGGCATAAGACTCCTGAACAGCTAATCATGGCTACCCAGACTATATGCACTGCCCCCCCACCCCATCCTTTTACGCTGCTGCTACTCTGTTAATTATTTATGCATAGTCACTTTAACTCTACCCACATGTACATATTACTTCAACTACCTCAACTAGCCGGTGCCCCCGCACATTGACTCTGCACCGGTACCCCCCTGTATATATACCCTCCCTACTGTTATTTTATTTTACTTCTGCTCTTTTTTTCTCAACACTTACTTTTTTGTTAAAAAATAAATGCACTGTTGGTTAAGGGCTGTAAGTAAGCATTTCACTGTAATGTCTGCACCTGTTGTATTCGGCGCATGTGGCCAATAAAATTTGATTTGATTTGAAAATTCCACATAGGCACACCTGTAAATTTAAATGCATTACAGGTGACTACCCCATGAAGCTGGATGAGAGAATGCTAAGAGTGTGCAAAGCTGTCATCAAGGCAAAGGGTGGCTACTTTGAAGAATCTCAAATATAAAATATATTTGATTTGTTTAACATTTTTTGGTTATTACATGATTCCATATGTGTTATTTCATAGTTTTGATGTCTTCACTATTATTCTACAATGTAGAAAATAGTAAAAATAAAGAAAAGCCCTTGAATGAGTAGGTGTGTCCAAACTTTTGACTGGTACTGTATATTTCATCAAATCTTACAATAATTGCTAGCGTTTCATAATAATAATAATATGCCATTTAGCAGACGCTTTATCCAAAGCGACTTACAGTCATGCGTGCATACATTATTTGTGTATGGGTGGTCCCGGGGATCGAACCCACTACCTTAGCGTTACAAGCACCGTGCTCTACCAGCTGAGCTACAGAGGACCACATTCCATCCCTGTTTCATCATTCCATCCCTGTAACCTCGTACCCCTGCACATCGACTCAATACTGGTACCCTTAGTTCTTGAAAACACTTCTCCGTATGTAGGGTTTTCAGATGTTACATTCGCCCACATTTGGCTCCTTGTGAACTACAATTCCGACGCTGTGTTTTAACGTTTGTAAACATCAATAATCATCGCTTTCAAACCGGTAGCCCCGTATCTTTTATATCAGCAAGAAATAATCTTTCAAATAAAAAAGATACACTTACTGTAGCAGTTTTGCACAGATCCACAAGCTGTGTGTGCCTCCAGTTGACGAATTACACTTCCTCCCCAGTTATGCTTACACACAGGTGTTCGGCGCACGCTAGATAGCACAAGTGGTTGCCTTTGTCTTCAATCTGTCTTCTGTAAACAAGCGATGTAACATGGCGATATGGCCGTATGGGAAGATTAACCCTAACCTTATAAAGGTGTGTAGTAATTTAACTTATTTATTCTTATAATTCTTATTATTTCTTTCTGATATGAAAGAACGTTCCTTATGTTTTCAAAAACGTACCGCAAGCAATGCGTGTTAGTGTTTAGACTAGTGTCGGGGCTCTTAACACAAAACGTATCTGGCTTTCAATGGGGTATGGTACCCCGTGTATATAGCCACGTTATCGTTACTCATTTTGTATTTATTGTTACTTTTATTATTACATGTTATTATTGTTCTATTATTTCTCTATTTTCTTTCTCCCTGCATTGTTGGGAAGGGCCCGTAAGTAGGCAAAGTATTTCACTGTTAGTCCACACCTGTTGTTTACGAAGCATGTGACAAATAACATTTGATTTGATTTTAGCGTTATTGCAACACTTAGACATTTCTGTTTCATGTTTGATACGATACATTTTCATTTATTTTTTACCCTCTGAGTAGGTGCAATGTTTATTGTGCACATGAACGTTTGCAAGACTCATGAGGTAGAAGTTCTGTTTATTTAATTCAATGTATGGTTTCCTTCGTTCCGGGTTATGTCGTAGTTCCATGTGTCTGTGCCCTATGTCTCTGTCATTCTTGTTGTGAGTAATAGGAGCATGCATGCCACAGTGCGCATAGAAATAGGCTACATGGCTTGCGGGCCACGCTTTGGAGTCCGTACGTTGAATAAGAGAAAATGATTGTTCCATGTATTAATGGTCATGAAATATCATTAATAATAATTAAGTCTGATTAAGACGAAATTGCCTTTTACATTGTATAACCAGTTTATTGGTTATAATTGCCAATTGGGTTTGTATGGTCCTGGGAGGGGCCAAGTTCTAATATGTACCTGTTTGAGCTTCGATTCGATTTGGTTTCTCAAGGGGAGGCTGTGCAGTCTTGCCCTCTTCCTATGTCCGTTGAGATAGGACAGGTTAAGCCTGATACAGAGGCTATTTCTTTTTAGCTTAGTCCCACCTCTGGTATTTTTACATAAATAATAATAGGAAAGATGTGATTATAATAGCCATGTCCTCAAGGAGACCAGTTGTTCAGTCACTACAGTATATCATGCTTAGATGATTTAGAGATCATCCAGAACAATATTTACAATACACAATCATATATAATCAAAGATACAGCAAAAATGATTAAATGTTATGATCAACCTAAAGTTAACTTCTGAATCCACTCGTATATATTCCTCCTTTATCTTCATTCTTCATACATTCAGCAGTACAAATCCCATGTTCAAAACAGTTCCTGTGGAGAGAAAATGATGAAAAAAATATTATTCAGAATTACTGTGTTGGGTTGATAGGAAAATATGATCAATGTGATCCAACTATTTTACAAGAAGTTGCTTCATCAAGATAGATTATACACAACCATGATAAATGGTTCATTTAGTCAGTCAGTGTACCTGCTCGAGGCGCCTCTCCTCATCCTCCTGATAATTGAGGACCAGCTCCTTTCTTTCTTGCTCTGTCTGCAAACCCATAGAGAGACACTTCAGTCACCCATGACACCACACACACGTCAATTGTGGTTAACACATTTCCTCTATCAATTTATTGTAACATGATCTGAACCAGTGATATAACCCCGGGCATTCTGTCTCTGGGTGTGTAACGAGAGAGAAAAGAGGGGAGAAACAGACAAACTTTTTTATGACCTGTGTTGACATTAGGTTTCAACGTGAAGTTCTGAAGTAAATGTTATAGCAGTTGTGCCAAGCTCTCTGGCATTTTGTTATATGTTTGTTCTGTTTACCCTCACTGCCCCAGATACATTCATGGAGGATTGGGACAGGATTTTCTTGGTTCTCTCGCGCTCAGAGGAGAGATGGTGGGGGTGAAGTGTTGATGCAGGCAGAACCAGGGGCTTATGGCCTGTCTGCTCCGTAGGCTGGAGGAGCCTGTGGGGGTTCACCCCGGGACGCTGTGACTTTGAAGGGTGTTAGTGTGGCCCACTGCAGGGGCCCACTGCTGACTCTAGCACTCTCTCGCTCTCCGAAATGTCTATCTATGTGAATGAAGTTTTTATATTATCTCAGAGGCAGTGAAAATAACAATAAACAATATCATTGGCATTTTGTTAAATGTTTGTTCTGTTTACCCTCACTGCTCCAGATACGTTCATGGAGGATTGGCTAACAGTAATAATACCTGCTCTTTGTTATCTTCTCTTCCTTTATGTAAACGGCTGTAAACTATTTGAACTGGACCTGGTCCCATAGATTAGATATCTAGGAATTGTTCTGTCCTTGTCTTTGACCAAATTGCAGACAAGATGTTGTTCAGATGTAGTCGGTGTAGAGGATTTGCATAGAATAACCTGTATCATTTACTTTCTTGTTACTCAATGAGGATCTGAGAAGTGATTCATGGTCATAGTGATTAAGGTGTAGGAGTAGGTGGGACCTGCCTTTTCAGGGCCTTCTGTGTTCCTCGACCTCTGCTGGGCACAGAGGATGGCGTCATGGACAGACAGGAAGAGGTGACCTCGGGGGACACTGCCCTCCTCAAACATCCCTCCCCCCTCCAGCTCCTCGTACACCTGTGCTGCAAACACACACCAGAAACCAACAAAGTAATACAAGGAGCGTAACTAGGGAGCTCAGGGACCTTGTATGCCCACTATGATACTATTTTGTTTTGTAGGGACAGACATGGGCTTTTGTGTTAATGGACTGAATCTTTCGCCCAACGTGATGGAACTCAAATGACCTTAAACATTCCTTTGCATCGGGAAGCCCAAGGCATTGCATATATGATTCAGCAGATGATGTGGCCCTCTGTAGCTCAATTGGTAGAGCATGGCGCTTGTAACACCAGGGTAGTGGGTTCGATCCCCGGGACCACCCATACGTAAAAATGTATGCACACATGACTGTAAGTCGCTTTGGATAAAAGCGTCTGCTAAATGGCATATTATGAACAGGGAACCCTTTGTAATTGAATGCCCACCTGCACTATACCCTTTGATGGATCACCTCTTTATCTCAATATGAAAAAGTGAGAAGGAAATGTACAATTCTAGACCCTATTATGTTAATGCTGAGATGGGATTTTAACCGTTAACTGTATTCTCTTTCATCTTCTATGTGTCCTTAGTTTGCAGACAGTGACTCAGCTTTGGCTCCTGCAAATGAGATCCTGTTCCCATGACTACTATTGAAAGACACCTGGCCGTTCGATAGGTAACTGCGTCATGAAAACTAGATCTTACCTTGAACATTGGCCAAGTATAGCTTGATCCCCAGCATCTCATAGCTCGAGTACATCTGTATGACAAGTACATAACAGCACACATCAAACCTCAACCAACTCTATGACAAATGCCAGTGCATATCACTGTAAAAGTACAAATGCATCCTGCACTTTCAGACTTGTTAAAAAACTAAATAAAATTGGAGACTTATTGCTTATCGTCTATATCAGGGATGGGCAACTCTGATTGGGGTGGGGCCACAAAAAAACTGAACTCATCATGAGGGGCCGCAGTTGCACGAGGGTCTGCATACCCTCATCCATAACCCTCCCCACACACACACACATTGCGAGCTAAACATTTTAGTGGCACCCCCCCTTGACAGCGGAGATAAATGTTTAACGTTTTTTTAGTTAATTTCATGCAATTCTATACATTTTGCCATGGGGCAGAGAGAAGATTTTGCTATTTTATAACTAATTTCCTGCAATTCTACACATTTTGCCATAGGATGGAGAGAAATGTTTGCAGTTTTTAATATGATATCTGAGTGAGACTGCTTAACAAAATCACTGGTGGTCCCCCGGCCGGTAATTCGACCATGATAACAAGTTTGGATAGCTGGCTGCTAAACTAACTTAGCAATCTAAAAAAGAATTGCGGACATGGGCTAATTGACTGACTATCAGTGACTGACATAACAAAAAAAACCTGCTAATGCACAACCAAATGTTTAAATATTCTACTATTCTAACTTGAAACAAAAAAATATATAAGAATTGATACGATGGCCTTCAAAAGGGGGCATGCCTGGTCTATATGATGACACTGTTGTAGTATCACCCATCATCTCACTATTCATATACTGTTGCTAGCATAACAAATGGCCAAGGCATAACGGGGAACCAAATAAAGGAAATAAAGACCTTGGTGAGCACTTTGATTCCCATGAGGTCTATGAAGCAGACCCCTGCCAGGTCCAGGATGAGGGTGTGGAAGGGGGTGGGCTGAGAGTCCAGGGTGACAGGGGAGGAACTGGGCTGGTCTGGGTCAGGAGACTGCTCACCCAGCTCATTGTCACTACAGTGGAAGTTCACATAACTGGTGGGTGATGGTGGCGGGTAAGGATTGTCGTCGCCAATGTCAAAGTCGTTCTGAAGCTCTAGCTGTGATATGGTCTAGACATGGGGGAAAGAAAGCCACAAAACAGTCAACTTAATCGAACCAAAGACTAAATTACACTGGGATATGTATTTAGCTTCAACATAATTTCATCTCAAATGTACAGTATGTTTCACATAACACCTTCAAAACCCAAAAGGCTTGGTTATACGGTCTATTGGTGGTCAGATCAGATGCCTATGACCTTTGACCTACCCTGACCTGTGAAGCGGTGCCGTAAAGCGAGACATTTCTGCCATGGCGCACTTTCCTACAGCGCTCTCTCACCACAGCTACTCCAGCGGTCCCAACACCACCGGCATGCAATTGCAAAAGCATTCGAGGGGATACAGCTGTTCACTAATTAATTGTGTTAAACACACAGAACCCACTGGGCACAGACGTCCATTCAACATCTATTCTTCGTTGGTTCAACCAGTGTGCGCCCAGTGAGAAGTCTGTATGAAGGCTATATCCCACTTGGGAGCCAAGTCCAGCCAATCAGAATTAGTTTTCCCCCACAAAAGGGATTTATTACAGACAGAAATACTCCTCAGTTTCATCAGCTGTCCGGGTGGCTGGTCTCAGACGATCCCGCAGGTGAAGAAGCCGGATGTGGAGGTCTTGGGTTGGCGTGGTTAAACGTGGTTTGCGGTTGTGAGGCCTGTTGAACGTACTGCCAAATTCTCTAAAACGGCTTATGGTAGAGAAATTAACATTCAATTCTCTGGCAACAGCTCTGGTGGACATTCCTGCAGTCAGCATGCCAATTGCATGCTCCCTCAAAACTTGAGACATCTGTGGCATTGTGTTGTGTGACAAAACTGCACATTTTAGAGTGGCCTTGTATTGTCCCCAGCACAAGGTGCAACTGTGTAATGATCATGCCATTTAATCAGCTTCTTGATATGCCACACCTGTCAGGTGGATGGATTATCTTGACAAAGGAGAAATGCTCACTAACAGGAATGTAAACATATTTCTGCACAAAATTTGAGAGAAATAAGCTTTGTGTGTGTATGGAACATTTCTGGGATCTTTTATTTCAGCTCATGAAACATGGGACCAACACTTTACATGTTGTGTTTATATCTTTGTTCAGTATAGTCATATTTACCCAAAATAAATACACTAAAGCCCTGACCTGTGACCTCTCACCTGAGATCTCATGGTTACCAGAGAGCTGGGCTTCTTCTTCTTGGTCTCCTTGTTTTGCCTGTCTAATTCTTTCTGCTGTTTCTTCAAAAACGTATTCCTGGCCAGGAGAAGTTTACCTGGGTCCAATCCAGTCTATGCACAAACACACACCAGATGGTAAATGGTTCTAAACATAATTGATGGCAGAGTTAAGAGACATGGCCATCCTATAGTCATCAAGGTACCTTTTTGATGACCTTTCGTCTGAATATCTCTGCATTGGCAAAATAGAGAGGGGAGCAGTAGTTCATTATTTTCACCCCTTCTACACATTTCACCTATAGAAATAGAAACATAAATGTATTCCATTGGATATATTTATATACATTCAACCTTGCTATGAAAGAAGACACAAACATAAATCCAAAGTAAATGGTGATGACACTACCTTGCTGTAGACCTTGGGATTTTTGTAAATATCTGTGTCCATGATCTGAGCCATCTCTGAACCATTTCGACTGTGGGGAACAAAATAAAATAAATCTAATTTATTTCTTAACAATTAAAAACATGAGCATATGAAATATACCAGTGACTTTTGTTACACAATCAATGTTGTTTTACTTACAACTGGGTCTGAAAAATAACCATGAGGATGGAGAAGCTAACTCCAATGGCAACTCCATAAGGCAAACTCAGGAAGAACGTGGCTAAAAATGACACAACCCACACACACTGAAAAAGATACAGGATAATTAGAGCAGTAGATTTGATAGTGTTTGAGTATCGACATCAGAGCTGACACTTAAACTGAGGGTTATAAGCATGTCCTGGTCATACAATGAGGAATGGATTTGACTCACACAGTCCGGTTTACTCTTCTTCCAGAGGTAATATGGGTCAGAGAGTTGCAGCAGAGTGTTCTTCAGGTTGACAGCTATCAGGGCTCCCAACACAGACTATAGGAATAAAAGGTGATCAACACTCAGTACCTTTTTACTTTTATGTTATTTGTACATCATAAACATATATGATGTAAGAAGAAACAAATACTTATTTTGATTTTCAACCCTCAGTGTTACTGATTCTAAACCAGGGGTTCTAAGACCCCTGAGAGGTCTAAGAGAGCTTTCAGGAGTTCCTCGATTTGAAAGTGCTTCAGTGGGCCCCGGAATAGAAAAGGTTGAGAACCTCTGCTGTACGTCAATGTTTCTATCTCTTTTGAATGCATTGAAATAAAGGTCCTCACCTTTGGTAGTGGTTTGAGGAAATGCCCCAAGGCCAGCATGGTGACCATGACCACCAGCATCACACACAGACTGGCAAACTGTGAAGAAGAAAGAACAGGATGGAGTCTTTATTGAGACAAGATGCCAATACTACACACTAACTGTTGTGTCCTGAACAGAGCTCTGATGAAACTTGGAATGTTATTGTTGTTTTGTGTTTTTTGTGGCCCCCGGGAAGAGTAGCTGATGCTTCTGCAAAAGGGGGATCCTAATAAACAAATAAACAAATTGTCAGTCAATCAACTACAAAGGGAATTAACAAGTTCATTATAATTAAGTGAATTGTTAAACATAAAGGTAAGAGGTATGTTCAATGAATACTGTGTTGTCTTGTGCCGTGCAAAGTTTCTACATTGTCCAGCTTCAATGCTCCCAGTGTCTCAATGCTCCCTGTGTCTGACCTGTGATGTTCCCCCAGCATTGTCTACTGCCAGGGTGACAGACAGAGCACAGCAGATCACATGAATCTTGAAGAAAGACCCCAAGAAGTTACTGCAGCCCAGAGCCAACATCTCCTGCACAGAAACACACATCATTGTTTATAGTACACTACAGACAGAGGGATTTGATGGGATTACATAAAAACATTGAATATGTTAAAGACACACTCCAGGCTCCTTTCACCTCATTTATCACCTGATTTACTTAACAAAAGGCATATCTCAATAGGTGGTCCAGGTATCCTCATGGCACAACAGGAAAAGTAAAAAAAAATAGCTGGAGTGCGTCTTTAAAAAAAGAAGACAGATTTGACAATAATGTGGTGAAAAATAAACTTTGCTTCACATTTTCTTCCTTTCCCCTCATGCTTGTCCCCTATTCGTACCTGATTGGGATCCACATCGTAGCCATGCTTTGCTGCCAGTGTCCTGCCTATAGCCAGGTTGATCACATAGCCCATGATAGCCAGGGAGAAGGCTGAGCTCAGCATCCCTTCCCACTGACTCACTGCTGGGAGGATCGGAGCAGGAAATCTAGGAGAAGAGGTTGGGATTACAGAACCTACTTGTCAATGTGAGGAAAGACTGTAAAACAGTCATAATAGCGCACCATAACAGTAACCTTTTCTGGTAATATTCTGTGTCCCTTACCCTAGGGGAATCTTCCCCACTATGTCAATGTGATACTTATCAGGCAGGTCCAGGGGACCCGATATGGCTGTGGCCACCACCACCTGTGCAAAGGGAGGTTCTGGTTTAACCATTTATATTGGTCTTATAACTCCATAGCATAACATTGCATAGCATAGCATATGATGGTATAACATGGCATAGCATAGCATATGATGGTATAACATGGCATAGCATAGCATATGATGTTATAACATGGCATAGCATAACATAGCATAACCTAACATAGCATAAAATAGCATATCATATCAATAATAATAATAATAATATGCCATTTAGCAGACGCTTTTATCCAAAGCGACTTACAGTCATGCGTGCATACATTTTTGTGTATGGGTGGTCCCGGGGATCGAACCCACTACCTTGGCGTTACAAGCGCCGTGCTCTACCAGCTGAGCTACAGAGGACCATATCATAGCATAGCATAGCATAGTATAGCATAGGCTGGCATAACATGGCATTGCATAATATAGCATAGGATGCCATAACAGCATATCATAGTATAGCATAGGATGGCATAGCATAGCATAACATAGCATCATAGCATAACATATGCCGGTATAACATGGCATATTAATATGGAGGCGAAAGAAACGCCCACCTATTTAGGCGAGGTGCTGGCTAACGGAGTAGAACACTTGAAAAAGAAAAGGAGACCCGCACACTCTAGGAGCTCAGATGCAATAATTTAATAACCTAATAACCAACGTTTCGACAGACATGCTGTCTTCATCAGGTTATAACATGGCATAGCATAACATAGCATAGGATGGCATAACAGCATATCATAGTATAGCATAGGCTGACATAACATGGCATAGGATGGCATAACAGCATATCATAGTATAGCATAGGCTGACATAACATGGCATAGCATAATATAGCATTACATGGCATTGCATAACATAACATAGCATAAGAGGTACAAGTTAGAGTCCTCCATTACTCACAATGATGATCTCTATGGGGATTGGGAAAGGCAGCTTGGGGCGGTAGCGTGCACCCAGCTCCTTCACTGTTATAAGAACCACACTGCTGACCAGAGCAAAGACCAGCGAGGCTATGTTGGTGTTAGGCAGGCCATAAACGATATCTTTAAGCGTCTGTGACAAAAAGGGACAAATAGTACTGTAGTTCTGCATGCAGATATGAAGAGCAAGGGTCATTTTTCAACAAATGAGGCTTACATTGATAGTGGCTAGTGGTCCACTGTAGGAAGGCACATTGATGCCAAATATGTACTTTAGTACAGAGATCAGGATCTGCAGTCCAGCTGCTGTCATGAACCCCCTGACGAAGGACTCGGACAGGTAGATGGCCACAAAGCCAAACTGCATCAAGCCCAGGCCCATCTGCTCAGACAGATTTTGTGCAACAGTTAATTCATTCACATTTAAGGTACAGTATGAGAGCTGAACACTTGCATTACCTCCAGAGACAATGCCTTAGCTTAGAATGCTGACACAGTTGTGGCACTCAGAATCACCGGGGTTCAAACCGCAGGTTGACATTTATTGGAATGACTCATGTACTGGAGGCAGCTCTGCAGAGTAGTCACTATCTGGCACAGCCACAAAGCCATAACATCTGATTTTAAACCTAACCCTAACCTTAACCCTAACCTTAACCACACCGCTAACCCTAATGCCTAACCCGACTTTGCAGCTGGCCCATCTAGCCGAAATCGGTCAGTTATGCCTCCAGAGCAAGATTCTTGACAATCTGCGTTCTGTCACATATACTGTACAATGGTAAACTAGCCTTCTCTGTGGCCTCCAGTACCTGTATGATAGCAGTGAGGCAGGCCAGCGTCCCAGAGATGCCCAGTCGAACCTCGTTCATCCTGTCCTCATCCATCACTGTGGCATTAAGGGTGGCATTGAAGTGGCTGAAGTCAGACTCAGGGGCCAGCTTCAGGCACTCCATGCCCACCATGATGCTGAGCACAGCAAAGGTACCTGGATGGAGAGAACACTCAATCACACTTTAAGAAGAGGAATCCTATGTCCAATGCATAAAAAAACCACCTACCCAAGGACACTTCACTTGGTGACTATTCAAGCTTCAGCGTGTCTGGGTACAATTACATCCTATAACCCAGCAGTTCCCAAACTGATTACCAGAGCCCATACTATAATCTACATTCAGTTAAATGTTTGAAGCAGAGAGGTTTTAATAATCAATTATTTAGTCTGGGTTTGTTTTTTCACATCTCAACCCTTATTGTGGTGGCGACTCAACAGACCCCTCAATTGGTGGGTCAAGAAGCACAAAGTTTGGGAACCCCTGCTATAACCTACAGTACCTTGTTAAAGTATTCATCTCCCTTGGCGTTTTCCTATTCTGTTGCATTGCAACCTGTAATTTAAATTGATTTGTATTTGTATTTCATGTAATGGACATACACAAAATAGTCCAAATTGGTGAAGTGAAATTAAAAAAATAACTTGTTTCAAAAAACTCTAAAAAAATAAATAACGGAAAATTGGTGCGTGCATATGTATTCACCCCCTTTGCTATGAAGCCCCTAAATAAGATCTGGTTCAACCAATTACCTTCAGAAGTCACATAATTAGTTAAATAAAGTCTACCTGTGTGCAATCTAAGTGTCACATGATCTGTCACATGATCTCAGTATGTATACACCTGTTCTGAAAGGCCCCAGAGTCTGCAACACCACTAAGCAAGAGGCACCACCAATCAAGCGGCACCATGAAGACCAATGAGCTTGTTTGGTGTTCGCCAAATGGCATGTGGGAGATTCCCCAAACATATGGAAGAAGGTACTCTGGTCAGATTAGTCTAAAATTGACCTTTTTGGCCATCAAGGAAAACGCTATGTCTGGCGCAAACCCAACACCTCTCATCTCCCCGAGAACACCATCCCCACAGTGAAGCATGGTGGTGGCAGCATCTGTGGTATGACTTAAAGATTGCTGTACACCAGTGGAACCCATCCAACTTGAAGGAGCTGGAGCAGTTTTGCCTTGAAGAATGGGCAAAAATCCCAGTGGCTAGATGTGCCAAGCTTATAGAGATATACCCCCAATAGACTTGCAGCTGTAATTGCTGCAAAAGGTGGCTCTACAAAGTATTGACTTTGGGGGGGTGAACAGTTATGCACGCTCAAGTTTTCTTTTTTTTTTTCTTATTTCTTGTTTGTTTCACAAAAAAAAATATTTTGCATCTTCAAAGTGGTAGGCATGTTGTGTAAATCAAATGATACAAACCCCCCAAAAATCAATTTTAATTCCAGGTTGTAAGGCAACAAAATAGGAAAAATGCAAGGGGGGTTGAATGCTTTCGCAAGCCACTGTATGCCTTTGATTATGGTAAACTTACCTGGGACCATTTGGTGAGCAGTGCCCATGAAGAAGTAGGGGATGAGAGGGAAGAAGGAGGAGTAGAGGCCATTGACAGGGGGTAGGTCAGCCAGCAGGGCAAAGGCCATGCCTGTAAAGAATAGAAAATCACTCATCAACAATTGAACAACCATAATCAAGGAAAATATAATTCTGATCATTAACTGTAATATTAATGTTGAGACCTTATTAAAAATGCAATGATTCACTATGAAACTGTATTAGAAAATATTTATGTTTAGAGATTTATCTTAAAGAGAGGCTGAACTCAAAAACCAACTTCTCTGGTTGAAAACAGCCTATGTGGCATCAATATTAGTCAAAAACATTTATTCTAGTGCCAACATTGACTACAGTACAAATAGGATAATTTTGATCATGTAGTCATTATCGTCCAAAACTGAGATTCGTTGGTGCGTTCAAGACAACTGGGAACTCAGAAAAAGAAAAGAGCTCAGACTGGGGAAAATCATGACGTCAGTGATCTTCAGATTGGAGAAGTCGGAGCTCTGGGATGATGCACGAGTTTCCGACTTGCAATTCCAAGTTGGATGACCGTTCAAAACGATTTCTCCCAGTCGGAGCTCGTTTTCTTCAGAGTTCCCAATTGTTTTGAACGCACTGAAGTCGGAGGTCAGAGATTTCCTAGTTCTGAGTTGTCTTGAACCATCATACAACTGAGGTTGCCACAGCTTACCTGATGGTTGGGTTGTGATTTTAAGCCTGCCCACATGGGACCACTGCCTGGCACAGTCTAATCACGCCTGGCACTGCAAGGCAGTAATCAAATTATCAGTAGCACAGCTGCCTGGGGTGCTGCAGTGCACGCTATCCAATCGCTCACCAGAATCAACCTACAACCCGCCCATTCATTTACAGACTGACAAACTAACCATTAAAACGCAGCGCCTCAGACTTATTTAGACAACAATTATATACAACACATTGTCGCAAATGTTATGTTGAAGGAACGAGAGTTGTTTTTTACAAACGGCTTGGGGTTTTCGAACTCAAACATCACACGATGGTCACGACTTGACAAAAGTGATCCACTCGAATGAGCCCAATGAGTACCGAAAAAGCCCAGGCGGAATCGGTAAGTTCAGCCCCTCTTTAATGTTAAAGGCACAGAACTTGAATGGTAGAACACCAGAGGGAGTAGAATGACAGACCTTGGGGAACCTGAATGGTACCTGCGCTGACCCCACTGATGACATCACAGAGGAGGTTCTCCTTCACCTTGTACTTGGGCAGCCAGCTTAGGATAGGCAGGTGTCTGAACAGCAGGGACTTGAGTCGAGACCCAGAGCACCTAATGATGTGCATAAACATGCATGTCTGGTTAGAACAGTCTCCCTATGGCCTCATAACATGGCTCCTCTTCCTTTGGTATAGCACTAACCCAAGAACCACATCACAGAAATCTCGACAGGAACATATTGGTTTAAAATGTAAATGTGAATAAAAGTACTAAGGTTTTGTTAGATAAACTTCATTGACTCATGAAAGAGATAAACATTTGTGGGCTTTTTATTGTTAGCAGAATGTAAATACTATACCTGAAGCATTTCTTCACTTTCTGTCCAATGGGGAAGGTCCGTTTCTTCATGTCAAACTTCCTATCGAAGTCTGGGAGCGAGTAGGCCGGCCTGTTGATCACATAGGGTGGGCAGTCTTTTTGCATGGCTTCAGCCAATCAGAGGACAGTTAGACAGGTATGATGGTGTCATTAAAGCAGCATTGAGGCATTTGAATAAGAAATTGTATTACATTGATAACATTGCATGACAACATTACGCAAAGGCTAGCCTGGTCCCAGATCTGTTTGTGCTCTTGCCAACTCAATTACTGTTATTGTCAAGCCAAACAACATTTCTTTAGAATAACAATTCCACAAGGAGTTGGTAAGAGAGGAGAAACAAACTGGTACCCTGGCTACTCAAAGCGCATTCACACAGCAAAAACTTGTTTCAGGTGGCTTAGTTGTTGGCATCCATAAACTAAGGAGGTCTATATATATTGTAATATTCCAAACAATTAGAATACATTGGAGGTAGTGGGTAGAAACATGTAACATGAACATGTAACAAATTCCTAACACCAAAAATAGTAGTAATTTGCACAGTTATTTCCTGAGTATAAACCTCTGCTGTTCTGCTGGGTTCCTAATCTAACCTCCTGTGCCAGTGTGCCTCAACAAAGCTGGATAACCAATCACACAAAATACAGGCACATGGTCAGTCAAACATCAGCCCGTCTCACCTTACAATGACTATGTTAATACTGAAATAATACTGTACCAAAACACTGGGAGAATGAGTGGCGTCATTGACATTTCAAAATTAAAGATGATTTTTTACAGACCATAAAGATTACATTTTTCAGTAATGCAAGTAAATAGAGATGAAGAACACTAATATTTTGAGATCTGAATGCTCACATTTCATACGTGTCAGAGGCCACAGAGAGAAACAATCATGTGTGCCAGAGTCAGAATACACCATTTTTTTCAGAGAGTTTATAAGACAAAAGACCAACAGCAACTGTCTTAGGACATGAGATGCTTTACATCATGCTAACCATTTCACCAAACTCTGAAACAACAATAATTTATTTAAACAGAGTAAAGTGACCAACAATTTAAAAACAAAGATAATATAATGTACTGTACCTTACAGCTGGAATGAACTATGATGTGACGGTAATACAGTTTCCCAGTAGGGTTAATTATTGGTTTTATACTGGAGCTTTGTTGACACCTTCTCCATGGGAGGAGCCATACATGGCAAACTATGGCTTAGCTTAGCTTTAGAGGGCATCACGTTTGGTTAGGAATAGTTCATTTGTGGAAGTATGATATGAATAGGGCAATTCAAACTGCAATTCATGATCTGTCTGAATAATAAGAAACAGCATAATCACATCAACATTTATTAAAATAAAATGTATATCTGAAATACATCTTGTGAATAAAGAAACTCATACCAAACAAAACAAACAAATTACTTCTTTAAAATATTCCCCTCCCTCTCACCAACAGCCTCACTCGCTTTCTCTCATCAAAAACACACCATTCACACAACTGAAGACATTTCGGTAACGATTTCTTTGACTATATATATATTGAGAATTCATTACACATCTATAATAATTTCATGAACGTGTTATAACAGGTCCCAACCGCATTATTAAAGGTAAATTAAATATATCCATAGCATGTAATATTGCAGATAGATTGTGGATTCCATCAATGTAAAAATGTCCAATCCCCCATACATTTTTTTGTAAATATACAAAGTTTTAGAACACCTACTCATTCAAGGGTTTTTCTTTATTTTTACAATTTTCTACATTGTTTCAAAGTTCTTGAAATGTTCCGTATTGACTGACCTTCATGTCTTAAAGTAATGATGGACTGTCATTTCGTTTGCTTATTTGAGCTGTTCTTCACATAATATGGACTTGGTCTTTTACCAAATAGGGCTATCTTCTGTATACCACCCCTACCTTGTCACAACACAACTGATTGGCTCAAACGCATTAAGAAGGAAAGAAATTCCACAAATTAACTTTTAACAAGGCACACCTGTTAATTGAAATGCATTCCAGGTGACTACCTCATGAAGCTGGTTGAGAGAATGCCAAGAGTGTGCAAAGCTGTCATCAAGGCAAAGGGTGGCTACTTTGAAGAATTTCAAATATAAAATATATTTTGATTTGTTTAACACTTTTTGGGTTACTACATGATTCCATATTTGTTATTTCACAGTTTTGATGTCTTCATGATTATTCTATAATGTAGAAAATAGTTTTAAAAAATAAAGAAAAACCCTTGAATGAGTTGGTGTGTCCAAACTTTTGACTGGTACTGTAACTATAGAATATATTTTATTGTATTATTATTTTCCCCAAACCCTGCCACGCCTCCCCATAATTGGAGTAAACTAATGGACAACAAATCTTAGGCTTCTACTTCCAGCTTATACATACTATATACATTTTACGGACACAGTATAGTTTACAATAGTTATCTTTTGTTTGTTTTTAGTCCCATCCTTCAGCTCCACTCAACCCCTCCTATCTATCTCTGAACACCATCAAGTTTTGATTTCTATTTGCCATATATTTTTCAACTGTGCTGTGATGTTTCACAAAATGTCTGAACCTTTCTATTCTTACTGCCATACCAGTGTTAGTGAATATGCCAAAAGGCCAAACCACATTTTGAAAATGATGCTGATATTTAGCCTTTACCAGCCCCATTTACCCCATCGGCCAGTGACCTTCTTCTTCTTCTTCTCACTGAGGTCAGTGGTGCATGAAGATCCCCATAGGGTTGAATCCTCAAGGTACATTTTACGGATCAAATCTTTCCTCTCATTAACAGCCCTCCTCCACATCGCAATTAAATTGGTCTTACTGGTCTATAACGCACACATGAAGGGTATATGTATGAATTCAATGCAGTCAATGTGAAGTAATTTCAATTTTCCGATTCAAAAAGCATTTATAGTAAGCACTTCATGGTAATTAACTGTGCAGTTTACCACTGATCTAACACCAACATTAAAGGTCTATGTTGGGCTATGAATCAACACAAAACGTGGTTTGGTCTATTGGCATATTCCCCAACACTGGTATGGGAGAAGCTCACGTTTGAGAACAGCCATAATGATGACACTACACTGTATTTTTAAGGCAAATCAGATTTTTTTTGGCAAATCTGACCATAACTCTATCCTCCTGATTCCTGCTTATAAGCAAAAACTGAAGCAGGAAGCACCAGTGACTCGGCTAATAAAAAAGTGGTCAGATGACGCAGATGCTAAGCTACAGGACTGTTTTGCTAGCACAGACTGGAACATGTTCAGGGATTCTTCAGACAGCATTGAGGAGTACACCACATCAGTCACTGGCTTCATCAATAAGTGCATCGATGATGTCGTCCCCACAGTGACCGTACGTACATACCCCAACCAGAAGCCATGGATTACAGGAAACATCCGCACTGAGCTAAAGGGTAGAGCTGCCGCTTTCAAGGAACGGGACTCTAACCCGGACGCTTATAAGAAATCCCGCTATGACCTCCGACGAACCATCAAACAGGCAAAGAGTCAATACAGGTCTAAGATTGAATCATACTACACTGGCTCTGACGCTCGTCGGATGTGGCAGGGCTTGAAAACTATTACAGACTACAAAGGGAAGCACAGCCACGAGCTGCCCAGTGACACAAGCCTACCAGACGAGCTAAACCACTTCTATGCTCGCTTCGAGGCAAGCAACACTGAAGCATGCATGAGAGCACCAGCTGTTCCGGACGACTATGTGATCACGCTCTCCGTAGCCGATGTGAGTAAGACTTTTAAGCAGGTCAACATTCACAAGGCCGCAGGGCCAGACGGATTACCAGGACGTGTACTCCGAGCATGTGCTGACCAACTGGCAAGTGTCTTCACTGACATTTTCAACATGTCCCTGACTGAGTCTGTAATACCAACATGTTTCAAGCAGACCACCATAGTCCCCGTGCCCAAGAACTCTAAGATAACCTGCCTAAATGACTACCGACCCGTGGCACTGACGTCTGTAGCCATGAAGTGCTTTGAAAGACTGGTCATGGCTCACATCAACAGCATAATCCCAGAAACCCTAGACCCACTCCAATTTGCATACCGCCCCAACAGATCCACAGATGATGCAATCTCTATCGCACTCCACACTGCCCTTTCCCACCTGGACAAGAGGAACACCTACGTGAGAATGCTATTCATTGACTACAGCTCAGCATTCAACACCATAGTGCCCTCAAAGCTCATCACTAAGCTAAGGATCCTGGGACTAAACACCTCCCTCTGCAACTGGATCCTGGACTTCCTGACGGGCCGCCCCCAGGTGGTAAGGGTAGGTAACAACACATCTGCCACACTGATCCTCAACACGGGGGCCCCTCAGGGGTGCGTGCTCAGTCCCCTCCTGTACTCTCTGTTCACCCATGACTGCATGGCCAGGCACGACTCCAACACCATCATTAAGTTTGCCGACGACACAACAGTGGTAGGCCTGATCACCGACAACGATGAGACAGCCTATAGGGAGGAGGTCAGAGATCTGGCCGTGTGGTGCCAGGACAACAACCTCTCCCTCAACGTGACCAAGACAAAGGAGATGATTGTGGACTACAGGAAAAAAAAGAGGACTGAGCACGCCCCCATTCTCATCGACGGGGCTGTAGTGGAACAGGTTGAGAGCTTCAAGTTCCTTGGTGTCCACATCACCAACAAACTATCATGGTCCAAACACACCAAGACAGTCGTGAAGAGGGCACGACAAAGCCTATTCCCCCTCAGGAGACTAAAAAGATTTGGCATGGGTCCTCAGATCCTCAAAAAATTATACAGCTGCACCATCGAGAGCATCCTGACTGGTTGCATCACCGCCTGGTATGGCAACTGCTTGGCCTCTGACCGCAAGGCACTACAGAGGGTAGTGCGTACGGCCCAGTACATCACTGGGGCAAAGCTCCCTGCCATCCAGGACCTCTATACCAGGCGGTGTCAGAGGAAGGCCCTCAAAATTGTCAAAGACTCCAGTCACCCTAGTCATAGACTGTTCTCTCTGCTACCGCACGGCAAGCGGTACCGGAGTGCCAAGTCTAGGTCCAAAAGACTTCTCAACAGCTTCTACCCCCAAGCCATAAGACTCCTGAACAGCTAATCATGGCTACCCGGACTATTTGCACTGCCCCCCCACCCCATCCTTTTTACGCTGCTGCTACTGTGTTAAGTATTTATGCATAGTCACTTTAACTCTACCCACATGTACATATTACCTCAACTAGCCGGTGCCCCCGCACATTGACTATGCAACGGTACCCCCCTGTATATATAGCCTCCCTACTGTCACTTTATTCTATTGTATATATAGCCTCCCTACTGTCACTTTATTTTTTACTTCTGCTCTTTTTTTCTCAACACTTTTTTGTTGTTTTATTCTTACTTTTTTGTTTAAAATAAATGCACTGTTGGTTAAGGGCTGTAAGTAAGCATTTCACTGTAATGTCTGCACCTGTTGTATTCGGCGCATGTGACCAATAAAATTTGATTTGATTTGATTTGATTTGAAATATGAGCTCTTGCATAGAATGACATGATTGCACTATAGATGTGCTATGAATATATTTCATTAACCTTTAATAATGCAGTTGGGACCTGTTATAACAATTCATAAAATGATTATAGATGTGTAATGAATGCGTTATACATATATAGTCAAAGTAACTCGTTATCCTACAGGTAAATATATTAGATCTTTAATATGATGAAACAAAACAACGTGAATATATGACAACATATGGAGATAGAAACGTAGAGAAAAGGTAGCCCCGTCAGATCAGGAGTTCCATACACCAGTGTATTAGTGTGCATTATATCCATCCTCAGCCTCTATTGCAATTTCTCTTTAAAAACAGATGGCAGTGGAGTGCAATTGAATCAATAGCATCATTTAAAGTGCATTAATATGTATCACATCAAACATGTATTGGTGTGTTGTTTCCTAAAAGAGAATAACACATATTCAAAATCATATGACAATCCATTATCCAGACAGAGATAGCAATGACTGGGCAAATAATCCTGCTCCCCCAAGTGGCGAAAGGAGAAACAGTAGAGAAATCACATAAACAACAGTGACAGAGCCTTTTTGTATGGGCATATTTGGACACTTACTCATTAGATGTGACATTGCATCAATAAATTTCAATCTGAAGCTTAAAATACAATTCTTAAAAATGGTGGCCTTTTGGACAGCTTCAACCCAAACCCTCAGAGACAGACCTTCCACAGCCTAGATGGTCCAGTCCTGATCCCTAATTAAGCCACTCTACAAATAGGCTTGTGTAAATCTTTCCTTAGAAAACATAAGCCTCTGCTGTCTGCCATTACAGATAAGATGTAGCCTAGTTCCCCTCAGAAGGAGTTTTCCCAAGTGACTATGGCTACTCACTCCAATAAAATGGCTGAGCTGTTACTGTATGTGTAGTAGCGGGGGTTTGAGGACAATTTAAAGCTTGTCCGGAGTGTGTAACTATAATAAATGAAAGTCAAAAAAAGTCTTATCCAGCAACTCCAGCTTCTCAGTGCTCTGTTTGGTCCAAAACTATTTTTCACCAACTCTTTTGCCGCCGGTTGGTTCCCGATTTTCCCAAAATATTCTACCAAGTGTATGAAGGGTAACATGGAGGGTATAATCAGAAGTCACTGAGGATGCTGATGTCAGCAAACTCTTGGCGGTATCTGTGTGAGTACAGGGCCAGGAGGAAGGCCCATTTGAGAGTCAGGAAGCTCCAAACACACGACAGGTACAGGCTCCCCGGGTCAGTCGGAGCTACAGGACGGGAGAGAAAACCTGTCAAAACATTTCTCTACACAGTACAAATTCTCCTAACCATACACACATGCAGTATAGAGCACTGGCATGCAAATAATGAATCTAAATGAGGAAGAGAGACAGAATGCAGGTATTAAATTATAATAATCATAATTTGGTGGGTGCTTATATTTGTCCTGTTTCACACATGTACAAGTGTGTATTATACGTATGTGTGAATTGGAAATGTGTTTTTTTGCATATCCCAACTCCCCCTGAGACACCCTCAGAGAGTGGGGTCACAGCCAGGGTCAGACATTATCAGGATGCTGGTAGTAAATGATTGGATTATTATTATAAAAAACATATATGAACTGTTCTGCATCAGGACAAATTATCGTTCTTCAGTGAGGAAATATTCCAAAAGGTTAATTCACTGGGTAACACTTTACATTAAGGTAAATAATAAACATATAATATAGCTATCACATTTAAAATGTGTGACATGATACTGTTAGGGTTATAAGAGAGTATGAGCCAAAGAGAGAAAGACTCACATTGCTTCTGTGTGATGGCAAGGGTGAGGAAGGTAGTGAAGGCCACCACAGCTAGTATGGAGAAGAGACCTCCAACGAAGATGAAGAACTTGAGTCCCTTCAGCCATGTGCGCCAGTAGTCCTGCAGGTACATGACGTGGGTGACAAGGGACCAGAATGCCAGCACTCCTGTGGGGGGGAAGAAACGTGGAATACCTCATCATACTCTCCAGAAAGGCAGGCATACTGTGAGACCTCATCATGACTGAACTAGGGCATAGTCACAGTGTGCTAAGTTAGGGAGCACCATCACAGAAAAAGCCATTGGTGAACCAGATGTGAGGGGTCCTTGCTCTAATAAAGGTTGTGATGCAAAATATGATGCAAACAGTTAGCCTATTCAGCCTATTCAATTCACACACTAGTTCAAAAGTTGTACGCAAGTATTAGTTAATCAGGGCAGATCTTTGAGCAATGTTTTTGCTACAGTTAAGTATTACACAAAAACAAAATTTTACAGAAACCATGAGAAATATCAAACAGGCTCATGCCAATCATCTGTACTAGCTGAGTGATTTGTATGCACTGACATAGTAGTGGAGGACATTGACAATGCTATTCAACATTGTGGTGAAATTCACATTTAACTACAAGTCCGTCGTCCTATGTTGTTGTGCTGGTGTCATGCCGCTACTGTACCTGACAATCCGCCCATTGCCGCTGTCCATGGTTGTTTGTATGCTATGTTCCAGACCAAAAAAGCTGAAAATCCAACCAGCATTCCAAAGGTAGCATATCCTATACTGACGTATGTTCTACTCTTCCCCATTAACACAGATATGACAATAGCTCTAGGTTGAAAGGTTGAAAAAAAGCTTCTGTAGACGGTCAATAAAAAGGCATAACATGTAGCCTGACAGCTTATAGATCGACACAGTTTACCACATACTAAAATAACTAGGCAGGCCTATGCAACATCAGTCCTGGCTGGTTGCTGTATCCTTAATTCACACGAATTGACTATAAAACAGATTTCAACAACCCCGGATGAACCATCGCTGATTGATACAAACGAATTGATTATCGAACGAAGACAACGCTCCCTACAATTGTATCAAAAACGAAAACCGATTTAAAAAAAAAGCAGCCTAAGTGTCAACAAAATAACGACTGTTTATCCCACCCGCCCAGGAATGATCAAGATTGTGTGTTATCTACAAGAACCAACGCTACAGTTTTTCCGTCTTCAGCCAAGAGGCGAGTCAAATTAATTTTAGCCTACTGAGCTTTCTCAAGCAAGCTGTCTTGTATGTTTGGATATTGGGAAACATCCATCATGTAATGTAACCAGACAAAGTTGTTGTCACAGAAATACCTACAAGAAAAGGAAATAAATGGATAAATATGAGATGTTAACTATCTAGCAAGCAATCGAAAGATCTTTGTTCTGAGGAAACCCCCACAAGACAGACCTAAACAGTGCCTCCTGCGGCCCAGAGTTAAACTGTTAATACTAGGCTATTATAAAAAACACAAGGATATTGTGACTTGATGTAGTTACAGTCAGTGGCGGATTGGCCATCTGGCAATTCTGCCAGATTGGCTGGACCATTTTTTAGTTGGCTGGGCTGGTCGAAATTGACACACATATACACACACACACATATATATATATATACATACATACATACATACACACACACACACACACTACAATACCAAAAGTATGTGGACACCTGCTCGTTGAACATCTTAATTCAAAATCTTGGGCATTAATATGGAGTTGGTCCTCCCTTTCCTGCTACAACAGCCTCCAATCTTCTGGGAATGCTTTAAAATTAACTAAATATTGGAACATTTCTGCGGGGACTTGCTTCCATTCAGCCACAAGAGCATTAGTGAGGTCGGGCACTGATTTTGGGCGATTAGGCCTGGCTCGCAGACGGCGTTCCAATTCATCCCATTAGTTGTTCGATGGGGTTGAGGTCTGGGCTCTGTTCAGGTCAGTCAAGTTCATCCACACTGATCTTGACAAACCATTTCTGTATGGACCTCGCTTTGTGCACAGGGGCATTGTCATTCTGCAACAGGAAAGGGCCTTCCCCAAACTGTTGCCACAAAGTTGGAAGCACAGAATCGTGTCTAGAATGTCATTGTATGCTGTAGAGTAAAGATTTCCCTTCACTGGAACTAAGTGGACTAGCCCGAACCATGAAAAACAGCCCCAGTCCATTATTCCTCCTCCACCAAACTTTACAGTTGGCACTATGCATTGGGTCAGGTAGCGTTCTCCTGGCATCCGCCAAACCCAGATTTGTCCGTCGGACTGCCAGATGGTGAAGCATCACTCCAGAGAACGTGTTTCCACCACTCCAGCCGACGCTTGGCATTGCGCATGGTGATTTTAGGCTTGTTCGGCCATGGAAACCCGACGAACAGTTATTGTGCTGACGTTGCTTCCAGAGGCAGTTTGGAACTCGGTAGTGAGTGTTGCAACCGAAGACAGACAATCTTTACTCGTTACGCGCTTCAGCACTCTGCGGTCCCGTTCTGTGAGCTTGTGAGCCATTGATGCTCCTAGACGTTTCCACAATAACAGCACTTACAGTTGACCGGGGCAGCTCTAGCAGGGCAGAAATTTGACGAACTGACTTGTTAGAAAGGTGTCATCTTATGACGGTGCCATGTTGAAAGTCACTGAGCTCTTCAGTAAGTCGATTCTGCTGCCAATATTTGTCTATGGAGATCGCATGGCTGTGTGCTCGATTTTAAACACCTGTCAGCAACGGGTGTGGCTGAAATAGCCGAATCCACTAATTTGAAGGGGTGTCCACATACTTTTGTATATGTAGTGTGTGTATATATATATATAGTGGCAGATCAGGGGGTTGGGTCAAGACCCATGAGACCCTCTCCAGGATACTGTCTCCAACTACACAGAAGTTTCCTTACTTTCCCCAGTCCTCTCTCATGTGCTGCCCTTCTGGCAGCTTTATGGGCCTTGCACAGCTGGTGAGCAATCCGCCCTTAATTACTCACCAGCTCCCAATCAGCCCCAATTAGTCCTGTCCGGGGAGCCCGTCGAGACCTGGCACGTCCAGCAGATGGAGCCACCGCCTCGTGATGTATACCCCATCTGTTACCAGGCCTTGACGAGTCTCCCCCCCCCCCCCCCCCCCCCCACTTAGCTCTGTCGGGTAGGGGACGGTCATCAGTGCAACATCTGTCTCCCTTCTCGATAGGGCATCCGCGTTTCCATGCTTCGACCCTGACCTGTGCACAACAGAAAAAGAGAATCGTTGAAGGGACAAGAACCACCTGCTGACCCGATCGTTTGTGTCTTTTCCCCTGGCCATCCAGACCAGGGGAGCATGGTCCGTGACCAGGGTGAAGTGGGTACCTAACAGGTAATACTTGAGAGTGTCTAGCGCCCACTTCCCCGCCAGACACTCTTTCTCAACAATTTAGTATTTTTTTCTCTCTGTATCAGCTTTCAGCTGATGTACATGATGGGGTGCTCCTCCCCATCGTGTATCTGGGACAGAACGGCCCCTAGTCCCGTATCACATGCATCCGTCTGGACCACCATCGGCACCTGGAAATCGGGCGTTACGAGAATCGGATGGGAGCACAGCGCTTCCTTCAGACGGCTGAACGCCGCTTCTGTCTCGTCCATCCATTTCACTGTTTTCGGGAGGCGGGCCCTGGTTAGATCGGTGAGGGGGGAAGCTATAGCCGCAAAGTTGGGGATAAACCGGCTATAGTATCCTGCCAGTCCCAGGAAGGACTTGACCTGTGTCTTGGTGCGTGGAACGGGCCAGTCACGTACCGTGTGAACCTTCCTCTCCTTGGGCTTGACGTTCCCCCATCCAATCAAATACCCCAGGTACTCCACCTCCTCGAACCCTAGCTTGCATTTCTTGGGGTTTGCGGTCAACCCGGCTTGTCTGAGCGCGTCCAGCACCGCCTGGAGGCGCGTCAGGTGCTCCTCCCAATCTTGGCTGTGGATGATGATATCATCCAGATAGGCCGCTGCGTACTGCTGGTGGGGTCAAAGCACTCTGTTCATCAGTCACTGGAATGTGGGCGGGGCTCCGTGGAGACCGAACGGGAGCACCCGGTACTGGTACAGACCGTCTGGTGTCGAGAACGCCGTCTTCTCCTAGGAGGAGGCTGCCAATGGTACCTGCCAATATCCTTTGGTCAGGTCAAGGGTGCTGATGTACCGGGCCTTTCCCAATCAGTCGATTAGCTCTTCCACCCTCGGCATGGGGTAGGCGTCGAATACGCTTATGTCGTTCACACCCCGGAAATCATTACAGAAGCGGTGGCTACTGTCCGGTTTGGGCACCAACACGATGGGGCTGCACCATGCACTGTGGGACTCTTCAACGACCCCCATCCTCAGCATAGCCTCCACTTCTTGTTTCACGGCCTTCCGTCGGGCCTCCAGAATTCGATACGGCCTCTTTCTTACTGTTCAATGAGGGTCGTGCGGCCCGGCTTCTCGGAGAACACCGCCGTGTTCCGATCGACAAGCTCCCGGAGCTCTTGCTTCTGGGCCGGGTCGAGGTCCTCACTGCTCGGGACCACCACTGGTACCGTTGGCATCCTGGGTCCCGACCATAACACAAGGCCAAGGCTGTCCTCTCGTGCCACTTCTTCAACAGGTTCACGTGGTAAATCTGTTGAGGTTTCCGTCTCCCCGGTTGCCGTACGCAGTAGTTGACAGGTCCCAGTTTCTCGACCACCTCGTATGGTCTGTGCCATGTTGCCAGGAACTTACTTTCAGCCGTGGGGATCAACACCAACACCCTGTCTCCCACCTGGAATTCTCGAGGCTGGGCTCCCCGATTGTAGACCTGGGCTTGGGCGCGTTGGGCCTTCTCCATATGTTCCCTCACGACTGGCCAATTGGCTGTCATCCGCTCCCACATCGTCTCCACGTGCTCTACCACGCTGCGTAAGGGGGTCGGTTGGGCTTCCCACACCTCCTTGGCGAGGTCCAGTAGGCCACGTGGCCTCCTCCCGTAGAGGAGTTCAAACGGGGAAAACCCAGTGGAGGATTGGGGTACTTCTCAGATTGAGAACATTAGGTGGGGTAGCAGCTGGTCCCAGTTCTTCCCGTCCTGCTCGATGACCTTCCACAGCATCTGTTTGAGCGTTTTGTTAAAGCGCTCGACGAGCCCATCCGTCTGCGGGTGAAAAACGGAGGTCCGGATCTGCTTGATCTGCATGAGGCGGGACATAAACTCTGTACCTTGGTCTGTCAGGATCTCGTTCGGGATGCCCACCCTGCTAAAGAGGTTGAACAGTTCCCGGGCGATTCCCTTGGATACCGCCGCCCGTAGGGGAATGGCCTCGGGATACCGGGTGACATAGTCTACTATTACCAAGATGTACCTGTGTCCTCGTGCAGTCTTTACCAGGGGTCCCACTATGTCCATGGCGATGCGTTCAAAGGGCACCCCGATGATCGGCAGGGGGACCAGAGGGTTTTGGAAGTGTGCTTTCGGGGCAGTGAGTTGACACTCTGGGCAGCTGCGACAGTAGTCTTCCACGGCCCTCCTCCCGGGTCTTCTCCATTCCCAGGTGCGCCCCCAACAGGTGGGTGTGGGCCAGCTGAAGAACGTTTCCTACGTACCGTCGGGGCAGCAACAATACCTCTCGAAGTTCCCCCTGTTGGCGTGACACCTGATACAAAAGGTTATTCTTAATTTGGAAATGAGGGTATCGCCAGTCACTTACCCCCGGAAGTAGCTGTCCATCCACCGCTATCACTTGGGCTGCAGCAGCTTTCAAATTCGGATCCTCCCACTGGGCCGTGAAGAATTGTCCCCTCAGTTGGCCCCCAACGGGGATCTCGACTGGCCCCTCGAAATCGAGAAGGGGGAGGATGGGCTCCTCCTCCAGTGGTTCCCCAGGGGGTTCGGGTTCCGGCTCCCCCTCCGACTCTGACTCTGGACCCGTAGAGTCAGGTTGGTTAACCGGTGGCGTCCTGGCCGCACAGGCGAGGGGTTGTCCCCGCTCTTTTCTTCAACTCGTGCCCCCATAGGGCCGCGAACAGCGGACAATCCCGTCCCACTGGATAGGTACCGGCAGCTCTGGTACTGCACCCACCATCATCTGGCAGCTTCCTTGTGGTGTCACGATGTTGGTCCATACGGCGGGGTACCACTTTGTGTCACCGTGAACACAGGAAATTGACATCTCCTTAC